TCAAACCAAAAGAACCGAGTGTGATGTCTAACAAAAGCGAACACATATCAGTCACCAAAATTCACCACGCAAAACTGAAATGTGGTTGGCGTCGGATCATCAAATAGACTAATATGCATGGATTTCTGTGTGTGTATGAGTGCGTTTGTGAAAAACAGCAATGATCAAACCCAAACGGAAATGTTTTGGAAAAGAAAAAGTTTTTTAAATAAATCTTGAATACAATCAGAACGACCTTCAACTCCATCAATCTTCCCGTTCTGTTTTGCTCTTTGCTCATTATGGTCATCAGTGTACAACGTAATATGGTGAAGCAAACTTCACTGATCGCTGTGCACACATACTAATTCAAGCATTCTGGTCTGATAAGAAGTGACAACATGAACGCCATTGCTGTCGACTTGCAGTCATGACCTTCAGCATCTCCAACTCTCGGGCTTCGGAGTCTTTTGGACCCCAACCAGGAAGACGACAGACACCTACTCTACCTAATCGGTCTGTTTACTTCTTCATGTCTCGTCTCCACGTAATCTGCTGACCTCCATTTGGCTCCCTCTAGCCTGTAACAGCCCCTGCAAACAAGGCGCACTGCGGTAGGCGACCGTCGGACATACTCAAAAAATGTCCTAACCAACGGAGCCTATTGAGCTGGATTCGATAAGATAGATAATTCTTGTTTGATGTATTCCCAAACACCCGACGACTTACTTCCAAGTTCCTAACCCGCTCACTCCATCCAGCCTGGGCCAGAGTATGTAAGAATCGATTGTCAAACATTGCTAAATGACGGATGATTTCTACCCGGAAATTCAAGGTCTCACAACAGTACACCAGAACTGATCGTACAGTGGCACAGTAAACGCGACTTTTCAACTTTAGTAACACGTCACGGGGCCGCCACAGGTGTTTAAGTCCTTCGTACGCTGTTCGGGCCTAGGAGAGGTGGGTGGTTATATCCTTTGATGCGCTATCGTCGTTGCTCAAGGAGCTACCTAAGTACGAGAAGTAGTCAACTTCAGCTTATTCCTGACCGTCTAGTTTCAGAACACAACACGGCGATACCCAGTCTTGTGACATTACTTTGCGCTTTGAAGGTGCAAAGTACATGCCAAACGGAGCGATAGAACAGAGCGACGAACACCGCCCCTAGTTACGAACGACCTACTCAGATCACCGTATACCCTTACGCTACCATAAGTATGCTAGTAGAGTGAACTCAGTATGTTTACGCAATTCTGCGGTATTCCTTTGTAAAGGAGCAAACCCGTAAAGTATTCACGATCAGCTTAGTCGAATTCTCCTTTTAGGTCAAGGAACACGACAACCGTTAGTCGACGGTACATACGCCATACCTTGAGGATTTGACGTAGAGTGAAGGTTTGGTCGAAACAATAGCGACCTGCTTGTTTTTCGCGGATGTTTGTCTCCCTAAACGGCGTCAGACGTCGAAGTATAATGGAGGCTAGTAACTTGGTGGCGATTGGGATCAAACTTATTCCACGGTGGTTTGCGCAGTCATTGCGAGACCCCTTCCTAAAAATTGGAACGATCAGTGATTCCCTGCAGCAGGATGAAGGAANGTATCACATCAGTAATGGAGTCTACAAAATCATCACCCCCATCTTGAAAAGAGTGGGAGGAAGCCCATCCGGCCCTAGTGCTTTACCTTTCTTGGGTGCGTGGATGCAAGAATGAACTTGTGCTGCAGTAGGAGGTTCAGCTGACACTGCCTCCCGTATTGCGTATCAGTTGGAATAGTCTTTGACTATGCCCTGATGCAGCTGCTACTTTCATTTCACCAGTTATCGTTACCCACCAGTTCGCACGGTCTTTCTTGAAGCTCTCTTTGAGTTGACTTAACAGACGCCACCTAGCCCTGCCTTGATTCCGGGTGGTTGGGATTTGCCACTTTTTCTCAATCAGTGCTACTGACTGATCAGATATCCAATACCTCGGGCGGACTACCGCATCAGATCCACAAACAACCTTCGCTATGGAGTACATTGCTCGATCAATGTGATCCCATTGTTCATTTACACTACCACCCCGCACTGCGTTTAGCTCTTGCCCTAGTTCTGATTCAAAACGAGCACGAAGGGTTGAGTCAGATAAGCGACGATCTGCCAGTCGAGTTTGGTGGGATTTTCTGCGATCATTGAGTTGGAGAGTGAACTTCATCAAAACTAACGCATGATCGGATTCAAAGCAGATGGTCTAATAGGACCTGCAATTTTGTAAGGAGCCACGACAACGGTAACTTACTGCTATATGGTCGATCTGAGTTAGCGTGCCAGGTGAATTTGAGCGCCACGTTGCTGTCCGTTGAGAGCTATGCCGGAAGTTTGTGCTGGATAGGAACCAATGATGGTCTGCGCGGAAATGAATAAGTCGGTCGCCATTATCTGTTCACTGGCAGGGCAGATCACAATGATCGCCTAGGCAAGCTTCCGATGCACTCAGTTTCCAACTTGAGCGTTAAAATCACCTGCGAGTACAATTGGCTCAACCGAATGATTTCGGTGAGTTTATCATAAAACTCTTCCTTCTGTGTGCCAGAACTGCAGTTGGTTGGTGCATACGCTCAAATGATGAATAAATACCTTTTGGTGTTGCTTCCTTTCCGGACGCTGATAAACCGTTGGAGCCGTATCGCACATAAGCGGCTGTTAACGGGGATCCAGTCAGGTAATGCAGTTTTTCGGCTGTATTGTTGGGTACAATGCCCACACTACGCCGGCCTACTGAACGGGCTTCGTCATAACTTGACGTGTGGAGGCAGAATCTCTAAGATCCTGGATTCGAGTCTTTGACACGCAGCAGACATCAATCCCCAAAGAGTTTACTGTACGCACCAGACACGCTGGTTGACCTACCTGCAACAGTTTCCTCTTATTGAAGGCCCCCAGATTCAGTGGCTGATGAGACTTCAGAATCTGCGCTGTGTTTTGTGGTAAAGAACTTACCTGGCCACTTGACAACGAACTTTGGCGGGTGACGACTAAGATGTTTGAGGAAATGTTACGGGTTGGGAGAAGGGGTAAAGGGAGAGGGACGGGTACGGAAGATGAAGAGTTAAACAAAGGTTGGGATATCTAAGCAGTAGCCTACTTATCACTACCCCCTCCGCTTGATGCGATGAGCAGCGCGGTCCTGATTATCCTGCCCGACGACCGACGCAGCATGTAATTATTTTTTGTTTCTGTATACATTTGAATTTGATGGACGGCTACTGCCAGGGTGTCCAGCTACTAAGCAGGAGAACGATTATGGTTTTCGTCTAAAGCCTTTAATTCGGACAAGAACCTGACCGCAAGGCAGCGGGTAAGACGAAGTAGAGGCCCATTTACTTGGATCAATTACTCGTCTACCACTCTACCGACTGAGACGCTAAATCGAGTTGAACCCCCAATCTGGAGGACCAGGAGACTGGAATTCATTTTACTGCTACCCACTGACCTTCCAGGCCTGATTAGATCTGCGGCTTGAAAAAAGCCATCCTGTATGGTTCGTTGGGTCACAGAGGTGCACAAGCCGCCACGTCAAGGTGCAGTCTCGTCATTTGCTGAGATGCGCAATACCCGAGAAGGATGTTCTGATTTCAAAAGATTTCTATTATTAGATCTCGGGGAAGCTTGGGGCCTGTGGTACAATTTTACCCTCGGTTCCTGTCACTAATGAAGTAGACAACAGGGTTGTCCTACCTCTCCGTATCTCAATAACTTTACCACCGATGATGTCCTGCAAAAAAATGTCAAATAACCTAACGAATCACGGCGTTGAGATTCGTCCTGGAGACAAAGTTATAGGCTTAGACGAAACGGAAGATATCGTCTTGCTCAGTGCAAATTCAAAACTGATTCAAAATGCTTAGCGATTGAGGTGGCTTGGTATAGTATGTACTTTAAACCACTCAAGTTCAAGTTACTACTGCAAAACTGGCAGGAGTTAGCGAGTCCGCTTCAAGGGCAGAGAATACCACAGAAATAGTTGAGATGTTTATCTATCTGGGAGTTGAATAGCGACCTGCGGGAGGGTAGGTGAGGAGATCCATCAATAGGTGATTGAAACACAAATCGGTATTTGACAATCACTGACACTTCTGGCACCATTGTGATACATCCCTAACTGAATTGCAAGCATATGACCTTGCATAAGTTTGAAGAATATAAACTGAGCAAGCTTATGTATAGCACGACAGTATGTGATGTGTCACTTTACAACGAAGAACCGTGACCTCTCTAGGCGGTTCATCAGAAAAGACAAACTACTTTCGAGAATCGCTGTCTGTGTACCATCTACCGAATATGGTGGATGGTTTGTGAGAATAACTTTGAGTGTAGATGACGTGTGTGTTGGATTCATATAGTTTGCCATGAAGCAAAATTATTTTGTTGTTCTGTCTGCTTTGGATAAAACACATTCCACGAATGTCCGGACTCTGCGGGCCGTCTGCGATTTACAAGCTGACCTGGGATTAAAAAGGACGAAAAAGCGGGATAGTGAAGGAAAGACATAATGAAGAGGGTTTGTAACAAAGTAGTTCAAAACTGCATCCAACAAACAAAAAAGTGATTTCCTTTACCAAATCAATTGATTTTGGTTCTGTTTTGTTCTTCTCAACCGAGGGTTATCTGGGTCTAGATTTTGCGAAGACTGGTGTAAAAGTGTTTTTTATTCATCAACTTGAAATCGTTCTCGTGTGCCTGTTTCTTTTACATGTAACTCTGTTTGTTCGAAAGCTGAAACCACGGCTCTGTCTACTCACGCAATAAACGGATACAATAATTAGCTCACTATTTTTAATTCCCCCCCACCCCCACTACCACCACTACCATCGCGTCCAATCGTCCGCATGTTCACACTACATCCGCCTTCTTCAAGTATCCAAATTGGATACGCTAACGAGCCCCACACCGACAATGAGTGTCACCCGGGTGTCCGAGCAAGACAACTGTAACAATTCGCATTCACTGGAAACACCACTCCTCATGTCTGTTCAGTCGGCGCGACGTAAGGCAAGCTTTCGATCGTCACAACATAAACGAAATATGGCCAGCGGATTCGATGTACACAGTTCTCGGGTTATGGCCAAATCAGATGAAAAACCGTGCAGTATTGAAAGCACTGATGGTGCAATCGAAGCCCCCGCGTTGGAACGAGAACGATCCATTGAACGTGGCATGCCAAAGATGAGACCGGGAACAAGGTAAGTGATTGCGGCTTCAAAAAGTCGTAAAATTAGAAGGGACGATTAGCACCGTATTTTTTTACGTTTTCCTGTTCCAAGTGAAATTCCGGAAAAATTATAACGGTGTACATCAATAGGAAGTGAGAACAATGAGGTTTATTGTTAAACAAAACATTCGTGTGTTATGCTGTCATCAATTTTTAATTATTATTTATTGAACATGCAACGATACCATTTTCAGGAACGGGGAAGCAGTCAATCGGAGAATTGGTGGAATTGGTAGAAAGTTAAACAATGGTGGTTGGATTCGAACACACGTTCACCGAAACGATAAATCACTAAATAAGTAGTGATCATATTCCAACAGCCAACTTTTACTGAAGTATACAAATCCAGTCACAACGAGAATGGTGTTTTTCATACGCTAATTAAGTCTTCCGTGGTTTGCATCATAAATATCGTGACATCTTAGAACTGGAGGAAAATCACAAGAAATATCCTGTAAAAATAAAAAATGTTTGATCGATAACAGGGGTCATCTAAATGTGCTTTTGAGAAACTGATCCATGATGACTGAAAAATTTATCTAACAAGACAAAGGATAGCGGATTTACCGTATGTCGTAGCTGTGTTTCGCGTTATATTTGCTGGGTTCAACAAAACAAAGCCTATTACAGAAATTCTCCCAAAGTAGTTCTGACATGGAGTACATCTATGTCTGAATCCCAGCAACGAGTGTGAAGATGATGCAGTGTGGCGAGTCTTATTTCGGACACCTGAAGTTTCCTTTTTCTATTCCACAGCTGTGTGTTATGAATATCACAAGATTCTCCAGGACAAAACGCCCCAAGAGGATAGACGTCGTATTAGTCCAAACGAAATAAATAAGGTTGCGTACCATCTGAGTTCTCCGTTGTAGCAAAAGGTCTAGGGCACATCAGTGGTAAACCATCATCACTACCAACAAAAACAACAACAACAACAATTTTTAGGTGTTTAACTGATAGAATGAAATGACAAAACATGCTGAACTACCCTAGGGGAAATTCAATTTTGCTTTCAACTTGTAATTCCCATCGTGTATGGTATCAACGCGTGACGATCGCGCCTGTTCAACAAGCGACTGCGCCATCCTGCGAATTTATCTGCCACCCTTAGCATACAGAACTGAGTTCGTCTCCATTTTTCAGGCAAACAAACAAACCTCGGTGGATTCAACCGTGAATGCACCCAAGTACATGGATAGACGATTTGGATAAACTGAACGGAGCAGATGTTCTGACAAAAAACAAGAAAAATCGATCATTAAAGCGTAAACACTGAGACTAAAACACACCCATCCCATCCATATACAGCGCGTTTGCGCACGGGGAATGTTCACTAGTATTGCTTTCCGAATTTGCCAGATTTTTTAGAAATTTCTTTATCGTTTTGACTTGTTCAGAAAAGAGCTATGATAAATTGAATTTTTGACACAAATAAGAATATCGAAATAAAAACAATATAGCCATCACATCGTTTTTCGTAACTGCATCTTCGGGTATTTACAGTTTTGGATGTTTACATATACGGCGGAAACAAATGTGATTGGTTCACAGAGTTTAAACGGGAAAGAATGATAATATCTATCTATCTATCTATCTATCCATCTATCAATCTATCTATATAAATTCATATTTATACATGGAGAAGGAGGATGAACGACACAGATCGATTCCGGAAATTGCCGATGACCTTGCTTTTTTGCATTTTGTCACATCATGTTCCGCGAACACAACCAAGTTGAGGTCATAGTTCGATTCGTCACAGGTTTGAGTGGGGCCAAAACAACTGGAGAGACAACTATCCTGTTCTGTGTGTACAGAGATGGGTTCAAGAATTTGATTGCTACTGCTTCTGCCGTTACCAAGTGACGTCGCCGAACCTACTTTGACTGGCTTTAGGGCACTTTGTAGATGAATTTAAAATTATCGTCATTTATCTGGTGCCCGGAATCAGCGAGGTGGGCCACGGTTGCACTAATTATTGTTTTCTTGCATCCCGTGCTCAACCAGGCAGATTTCTGAAAACTATCTCATTGGTCGTCCTACATAGCTGGCCGAACGTGTGTAAGTGAAGAAATATGTAGCCATGGATGAGGAGAGGATGGACAGCTTGTCCTTAAGGTTGGTGCTGAGCTGTGACCCGTTTGCAAACGTCGCACGCAGAGTGGCGGCTCGATATGTTCGTGTCATTGCTTTATCCGAACGTCTTCTCAATAGATGACCACTAGCGTCTTCTTCTTTTTGAATGTGATTACTTCTGGAAAGTTGGGCTTTTCTGGGATGTTCTTATCTATTAAATACTCTGGGTATGCATTGTTTAACAATATATATTTGATTTTTCTTAGTCTTCCCTCCACTATAGATCCTTGACGCAGATCATTCAAATCCTAAAGGCCAGACATTGTTGTACGTTTTGTTTAAATTGGATTGGAACGAAACAGTGGAAATGAATGTATTGATCGGTCCATTACGGTTTAAGAAAAATTGAAAGATATGTCAATCCGAATGGTCCCTTCTTGAGTTTACCGTCGATGAAATGAAGCGTATCCCGATCTTCTGTTTCGGACGTAAAGCTGATTGGCTGCTGAGCTTTGTTAACATGATCCAATATTATGTTTCGCAAAATGCTTGAATTGGAAAGAATGAAAATATCGTCCGCACAGGGCAGTAGAATGGGAGCTTTTATTGTTGACTAATGTCCCGTAGTTCGGCTTTTTCCAGTTTAGCTACGTATATTGTTTGTCTTTTGAAACTCTTGTGGGAACCTTCTACGAAATAAGCGCAGTTCAGAGTAAATGACCATGCTGTAAAATGATCACGCATTGCGGTGAGCGATTGCGTAATCCATGCAACATAACATGTCATCGCTTGATCTCACTCAGTTCTAATACCGATTGACCACTGAAAACGAAGAAAACCATGTTTTCTGTTCTGTAGATAGAAAGGTCCGTGATCGATGGTACAGAGAATCATTTACGTCCTGAATGGTCGAACCATTCCAGTAACATATGTTTTATGAGTTGGATCTTGTCTTCTTTTAAAGCTCATCTCATTTTGCGTATTCAGCTGCCCCTACTTTACTCTGGTTATGTAACTTGAGATGTAATAGTCTGTCACCATGAATCATTGAAAACAAGACACGCTACATTTAACAAAGCAGCTTATCTTCGAAACCGCATAATTGGGTTGGTTTATTGAACCATACGGAACACTGCAGCCAAGTCTGTTAGTTGTGTTGTTCTTGGCTGTTTGTCTGCGTTTGATTCCGTTCCTCGATCATCTCTCGTTTGCAAAATTGAATTTTTGGCACGAGGAGACAGCTGCACTTATGGAGTTTGGACTACTTCACTCTCTGTATACATCCAAAAGCTGACGATGTCGTTCTATGTCAGGATATTTTCACTTCTTCAGAATTTGATTCTCCCGACTTAAATTTATCACAAATCCAAGAGCTATTAAATCAATCTGACCTTATGCTTAACACATCCAGATACCTAGAGTGCATTTTCATTTTACCCCTTCTTTCATTTTTAGCGGACTTTGCTACTGTTAGCTGTAACCATGTGACTAGAGTGACCTCTGTGAAGTGCCTGGGTTTCACCACTGCCAGTAATCTCCGGTGGTCAATGAACATTTAGAGTTGCATGGGGAAAATGGGAAGCCTCTATTTGCAGCTACCTAAACTCAGGCAATTTGGAACACCACCATCAATTTCCTCATTCTGGGCGATTGCTAGCCTGTAGTGTTGTTTTTCAAGCTTTCAAAACGACACTACAAAACCATTCGTCGTGGTTTAGTGATAAGCAGTTGTGTATCACTGATGTCCTTGGAATGGCTAATCACCGAACTTATTATTGGTCATATCAAATTCTGTATTGAATTTTCCAACAACACACTAGACGCCCTCTGCGTCCACTGCATCCTTATCGATCTTCTTCTTCTTGTCGTTGCCACAAGTCCGCACGCTCCTCACGTCGGCATCTACTCTCTTGTATTTAAATTTACGAAAGTTCCCTTGCACTCTACCTGACCCGGCTCCTAATTAACACTTAACAGGTCGTTGTGAAATTACGTCAGAATTTGCGTTCTTCGACGTTTCACGTTGCATGTTGTATGAACTTATAAGTTATTTCTGCTTCATGACTAGTGTACATTTTTAATGTAAGCACAGACTGGCACAAATTATACAAATACAAATAACAATCTGTGATTAGGATTTGTTTTCTATCATACGGTTAGGGCAGCAAAGGTCGAGCAACACTGGCTACTCACTCATCAATAGTTGACTTCCCTCCCTTTCCCCACTGTGCCCCTACTTTCCCAATTCTCATCGGATATTCTTCAATCAGCCGTGGTTTCTTTCTTGTTTATCAAATAGCATGAAATAACACACTTATTTTGTTATGTTATCCGATTTACTATAGATCTATGTGGAGTCGTTTATTTTGAACAAAGGATTATTTTTAGTTCCCTCGTGAGGTTAGGTACCCGGACTCAGAAACTGCAGTAGCTTATTTGTACAAAACACAAATTATTCTACTAGCCAATACACATTTAGTTCCCCTGAATTCTTATTATGGACATTTTCTCTCAAGTTTGATGCGGTACAATAACACATGAATTGTATCACAGGACTGCGAGGTAGTCACGACAACCTTTTCGCGGGCATTAAGCTGTTTCGTCCCTCACCCCCACCCCTTGAGCAAAAGACGCACAAGTTTATCTATACCTCATTGAGCTATTCTTCTCTGCGATCATTTCATCAATGTCATTAACTAATGATTTTTACAGCTGTTTTATTCTCCTCTAATTTAAAAATGTATTAGTTTACTTTTAAAGGTTAATCGAGTTATGAAGGTTTTGCATCATGTGTGCAGTCTTGTTGGCTTTCGTCCAAACGTTTTGTCACATATGCAGGGTTGTTTTCCTCATTCCCTTGTCTCAAGCCATTTGATCGCTGGTCCCAACTACAAA